CCAGCATTACCCTGATAGCAAAATTAGACAAGAACACTACAAAAAAGAAAGTTATAGGCCAATATCCCTGATGAACACAGATGCAAAAATCCTCAAAACATTAGCAAACCAAATTCAACAATACATTAAAATAATCACAACAACTGAGTGGGACTTATTCCAGGGATGCAAGACTGGTTCAACATTTGCAAATCAATGTGATATATCACATTAACAAAACCTGGGATAAAAACCGTATGATCATTTCAGTAATTGCAGAAAGAGCACTTGATAAAATTCAACATCCGTTCATGATAAGAATTCCCAATAAAGTGGGTTTAGAGGGAACACACTCAACATAATAAAGACCATACATGACAAACCCACAGGTAACATCATAATGGTGAAAAACTAAAAGATTTTCCCCTAAGACTGAGACAAAGATGTCCACTCTGACCACTTTTATTCAACAGAGCACTAAGTTCTAGCCACAGAAACCAGACAAGAAAAAATAAATAAAAGGCAACCAAATTGGGTAAGGAAAAAGTCAAACCATCAATAATGAAAGAGAATATGATACTATGTATAGGAAAACTTAAAGACGCCACCAAAAAACTAAACTAATAAACTCAGTGAAGTTGCAAGATATAAAATCAACACATGGAAATCTGGTATATCTCTGTATACTAATAACAAAGTAGCAGAAAGAGAAATTAAGAAAACAGTCCCATTTACAAGTGCATCAAATGAATAAAATACCTAGGAATATATTTAGCAAAGAAGGTGAAAGATGCCGTACTCTTAAAACTGTAAGACAATGAAGAAAAAGGGAAGGTGACACAAATGGAAAGATATTCCATGCTTACGTAGTAAAATCAATAGCATTAAAATGTCCACAGTACCCAAAACAATCTACAGATTCAATGCATCCCTATCAAAATACTGGTAGTATTCTTCACAGAACTAGAGCAAATAATACCAAAATACGTATAAAGCCACAAAAGACCTTGAACAGCCAAAGCAATCTGGAGAAAGCAGCTTGTCACCCTACCATTCAAAGCTCTTCACACATCTGTCTCCAAACCACTTCTTGATTTCCTAAATCCAACAAATGATCAGCAAAGCTAATGTAACCACTGACCCCAGAATCCTCTTCATCATCTTCAAGCTTTTCTTCCACTCAGAATGTCCTATTCCTGCCACTTATCCAAATTTTACCTACTCTTCACAATCCCGCACAAGTCCCAATCACTCACGAATCTCATCTGACGCTACCTCTACACTCAGTTATTTTTCCTCGAATTGTATATAACATTTCCTATCAGCAAAAAATTACACATTATTTTATGCACTTAAAACTGTTCATCTGTGTACATATTTTCTCCCAACTGGCCAACAGTATAACCTCAGAGTTGGAGAACGTTTTTAATATACTATAGCCATAAAGTACCAGGCACAATGCTACTCAATACTAAATAAACAAAAAATGTAACAAAACCAAATGTGATTACAAAAGAGACCAATTTCAACAGCTGGGAAGCTCTTTCAGTATAAATAAATTCAGCATGTTAAAAATAATTTCTTCCATAAAAAAGCCATCTAAAGTACAAAGCCCTTCAAGACCATAACAAATCCTATTCTCTGAATATTCTCCAAACTAAGTAGATAAGCATCATTGCTAGATTTCAAACCTGGTGACTGCCACCAGGCCCTGTTGCACATACCTTCCATTATGCCGAGTAACTGTGTGAATGACTATGTTGGTTACTGGTGATCAATTACCTCTAAGCCAATACAGAATTGTATCCTCTCAAATTTAGTGCTATCATATTCAATGATTGTACACACAATCTTACAATGCAGGCATTACTATCTCCAGTTTATAATTAAAAAGGAGAAACCTGGGTAGAAATGTGAGCTGAGCTTTAGAGATCACACAGCTAGTTAAATGACATAGCTAGACCAGAATATAATTTTCTCTAAAATAGGATACATTTTTTTACTAGGTATTCAGTGTCAGCCCCCCAGGACCGATTGTATTTTGCTCATAAGACAAACAAAAGGGTAAGCCTCTTACTGAATAATTATATGCCACCAAACTAGACAACCTAGAATACATGGCTACATTTCTAGAAACATACTACCTACCAAGACTGAATCATGAAGAAATCGAAAATCTGAACAGATCGATTTCTAGTGAGGAAATTCTTGTTAGTAATCAAAAACTTCCCAACAAACAAAAGTCAGGACCAGACACCTTCACTGGTGAACTCTACCACACATTTAAAGAAAAATTACTACCAATGCTTCTCAAAGTCTTCCAAAACAATAAGATAAGGGACATTTCCAAACTCATTTTACAAGGCCAGCATTACAGCATATTAAAATCAGACAAGGACACAACAGAAAAGAGAATCAAAGGCCAATTTCCATGAGAAACATATAAGTAAAAATTTTCAACAGAATATTAAACCAAATTCAACAATATATTAAAAGGATCATACACATGATTTAGGATTTATTCTACAGAGATGTAGAGATGTTTCCACATCCACATATCAATGTGATACAACACATTAACAAAATCAAGGGCAAAAATCATACGATCATCTCAACAGATGCAGAAAAAGCACGTGATAAAATTCAACACAACTGTTAATGATAAAAACTCTCCAAACAGGTTCAGAAGGAATGTACTCACAATAGTAAAGGCCACATATGACAAGCCCATAGCTAGTATCATATGCAACAATGAAAAGCTGAAAGTGTTTCCCCTAAGATCAGGAACAAGACAAGGATGCCCATTCTTTCCACTTCCATTATTCAATATGGTATTGAAAATCCTTACCAGAGCAATTAATTAAGCAAGGAAAGCAAATAAAAGCCATCCAAATTGGAAAGGAAGAAGGAAAACCGTTGCCTATTTTCAGATGATGCTACATACAGGAAAACACTAAAAACTAAAAAAAAAAAAAAAAAAAAAGTTAGAACTCATAAATGAATTCAGTAAAGTTGCAGAATAAAAAATCAATATGCCAAAATCTGTTGCAATATCTATATACTAATAAACTATCAAAAAGAAAAAAATGAAACAATACCACTTACAAACGCATCCAAAAGAACAAAACACTGAGGAATAGATTTAACTAAGAAGGTGAAAGATCTCTACTCTGAAAACTATGAGACATTGATGAAAAAAACTGAAAACTCAAATATATGGAAAAATATTCCAGACTCAGGGATTGGAAGAATTAAAATTGTTAAAATGGCCACACTATTCATAAAGCAATCTACAGATTCAATGCAATTTCTATCAAAATTTCAACAGCAGGGCGCCTGGGTGGCTCAGTCATTAAGCGGCTGCCTTCGGCTCAGGTCATGATCCCAGGGTCCTGGGATCGAGCTCCGCATCGGGCTCCCTGCTCAGTGGGAAGCCTGCTTCTCCCTCTCCCACTCCCCCTGCTTGTGTTCCCTCTCTCGTTGTCTCTCTGTCAAATAAATAAATAAAATCTTAAAAAAAAAAATTCCAACGGCATTTTTCACAGAAATAGAACAACCCTAAAGTTTGTATGGAACCATAAGACCCTGAATAGCCAAAGCCATCTTGAGAAAGCAGCAGCATCACTCTTTGATTTCAATCTATATTACAAAGCTATGCTCATCAAAATAGTATGGTATTGGCCTAATAACAGACACAAAGATCAATCCAACAGAATAGCGAGCTGAGGGATAAACCCACACATATATGGTCAATTAAAGGAGCCAGGAATATACAATGGGAAGAGAGCCTGTACAATAAATGGTGTTGGGGAAATTGGACTACTTACACCATACACAAAAAAAAACTCGAATGGATTCAAGACTTGAACTTAAGACTGGAAACCATAAAACTCCTAGAGGACAAGAGGGAGTAAGCTGCTTGGTATCAGTCTTGGTGATCATTTTTTGGATTTGACACCAAAAGCAAAGGCAACAAAAGCAAAAATCAGTAAGTAAGACTACATCAAACTAAAAAGGTTCTACACAGCAAAAGAAACCCATCAACAAAATGAAAAGGCAACCTACTAAAGGGGAAAAAACATTAACAAATCACATTCCTCATAAGGTGTTTAACATCTAAAATAGATTAAAAAACTCAAAGAACTCAAGAAAAAACAATCCAATTAAAAAATGGGCAGAGGCTCTGAATAGTTTCCCAAAGACATACAGATGACCAACATGTACATGAAAAGATGCTCAACCTCACTCATCATCAGGGATATGCAAATCAAAACCATAACGGGACATCACCTTACACCTGTTAGGATGGCTATTACCAAAAAGTCAAAAAAGTAAGTATTGGAAAAGATATGGAGATAAAGCAAGCCCTTGATGAGAATGTCAACTGGTACAAAACAATATGGAGGTTCCTCAAAAAATTAAATGAGCCATATTGATCCAGCAATTCCACTTCTGTGTATTTATCTGAGGGAAATGAGAACACTACCTTGAAGAGATATATGCACCCCCCCCCAATCCATGTTCATTGCAGCATTATTTACAATAACTAAGACACGGAAACAATCTAAGTATCCGTCAATGGAAGAATGAATAAAGAAAATGTGGTGTGTACACACGTATACACACACACACACACACACACACACACAATTATTCAGCCGTGGAAAAAGAAGAAAATCTTGCCATTTGCAACAATATGAGTGGACCTTCAGGGCATTATACTAAGGGAAATAAGTCCCAGAAAAATACTGTATGATCCCACTTTTACACAGAATAAAAAAATATGAACTCACAGATACAAAGAACAGACTGATGTTTGGAAGGGTGGTGGGTGGGTGGGGCAAGTAAAACGAGTGAAGGGGGTTGTTAAAAGAAACTTTCAGTTATAAAGTCAGTCATGAGGATAAAATGTACAGCACAGTGACTACACTTTATACTGTACTGTATATCTGAAAATTGCTAAGAGTCATTACAAGAAAACCAACTTGTAATTATGTTAAAAAAAAAAAAAAGCCTCTTACTTGTCAGGTAGCAATTCTGCAATGAAGTTTTCTACTGACACAGCAGTCTGCTTTTCATGGATCACTCCAGTTCGACGCAAGCTGTCTATCCGTTCCTGGGCACCCTGAATGACAACCATGTAGGTTAGAAACCATTTCTAATTATTCAGTATTAAATATACTAATATGGTTATACAAGTAATAAATATATTTACACACGAACACCTATATACCCATTGTAAACATTCGAACAGTGCAGAAGTATAAAGAGTAAACAGTGCAAAAGTCCAATCATGTTCCCCTCAGTATTAACAGTTTATAGAGCATATTCCAAGTTATTCCCACATACACTATTATTTTGGTTGCTACTACGAAATGGATTTTTTTTATATTAATGTTCTACTTGGTTATTACTAATAAAATGAAACTATGTACTTCTTAATGTTGATCTGCCAAGGGGATATCTTACTGATAAAAATCTTTTTTCAGTCCTAGTAGTTTTTAATTAATATTTCCTTGAGGTATCTAGGTAGGCAATCGTATCAAAGTGAATGTTTTTTTCCTCTTGCTTCTGACTTCATTTAAATATAGCCTTAAAATATGCACCAAAATGGCAGCTGATTTATATTTAACTGCAAATGTATACATTGCACCAAAACTTATTTACCATTTATGCAACAAAACTGAGGGGCTGAGAACACTGTATAGATAACTCAAAATCATCAATACATTTCTTATGGTAGAAAACTACAAGTTTTTAGTAAAGTTGCTATTTACTACTTTATCTGAATCACTTCATAAACAGTGATCATAAGAGAAGTGACAGTAAGTGTTCAAAAAGCAAGACAAAATGCATTCTGTTTTTGAATAAAACTACCATGGATAATACATTAGCGTACTTTTCCTATGGACAGCAGAGAGAAGTAGTGAATGAGAAAAAGTGGTCAATTCTCATCAAATGAAAAATTTAAAAGCTAGGACACTTCTAAAGACAACTAGACTTACTTCAGAGACAACAGAAATAAAGAAGAGAAGGTGACCAGTGCATGAAAATGGGTAAACCAATTTAAGACACTGGCTTATAAAAGATTAAGGATGAAAGAAGGTATGCATTAAGCTATACTAATATCGACTGTATTTTTGCTCATTCTTATCTCTCTAGTACCACGCACAACTGTCTAACCCTAGAGACATTCAGTAAGAAAATACTACATGAAAAAACGAAGAAGGGAAGAAATAAGGGCCTTCTTAAAAATTTTTATTACTCATGTTAAGAATCTGAATGATGTAAATCTACTGACAGTGAATGAGGAGGCAGCTGATGAATTTGAAAGAAAACGTAACAGGTAAGATGTTATACTGGATAATGTAAATTTGCCTAAATCATTTTCCTCCCAAGAGGAAATCAGTTATGGTTGAATTTTGATTATGAGTAAGTTTAAATAAATGTTAATTCAGTAAAAACTATTAGGGAGTTAGTGGGATATTTAAGAGATTCATCCCTAACTCTTTGAAGATATCTAAGCTAAGCACTACAACAAAATATTCCTAGATTTGTTTCCAGGAAACTAAGTTGGTTCATTTTTTTACTATACTACAACATAGGACCTTATATTTCATAAGGAAAACGAAGAGGGGGTTATAATGTGCCTCTTCTCCTCTGATGTTAATTAAGTGTGGCATCTTTTGGAATCACAAAAATAGACACTTTAAGATCAGCCCCTACCAATGTTTTGAGAATAAAATTTTAACTTTATTTTCAGAAGTGTAAGGAATCAAGAATCAGGTAGTTTTGAGGCCACACTGAAGTAATTATCTCAAACAGAAGATACAGAAAGGCCCCCAGAGCTTATCCTGTACTCTAAGAGTTTATACTAAGCGATTTGGTTTAATCAAAATTCCATGCTTCTTCTTACCTGCATATAAATATTACCTACATCTTTGGTAAAGTAAGTTGTTTTTTTTAAGATTTTATTTATTTATTTGAGAGAGAGAGCACGAGAGGGAAGAGGGTCAGAGGGAGAAGCAGACCCCCTGCTGAGCAGGAAGCCCGATGTGGGACTCACTCCTGGGACTCCAGGATCATGACCTGAGCCGAAGGCAGTCGCTCAACCAACTGAGCCACCCAGGCGCCCAAAGTAAGTTATAAATCAGTGGTCATAACTATGACTGGCTCTGCAATGAAATTAATGGTTGGCACATAAGTTTCAGAAGCTCCCTAATGTTACTTATGGCAGATTTATTTCTTTAAACCTAAGTTTTCCTTCAGTCATTTACTTCAAATAAAGTCTGATGGGGAGTAAAACATCTGGGTTCAAATTTTAATATTCTAGGATTCTACATTACTTTTCTTCTCATTAGCTCCCTCTACTGCTTCTGAAAAAAACAGCTGATAAATTTGTAAATGATTTTCCCATGCATGCATCAGTTTCAGTGAATTTTGATTTTAAGCTTTTATTAAAAATTATAGAAAAGAAACCCAAATATTTGAATTTGAAGGGCAAAAACCAACAGCAAAAATGAATCTGTCAAACACTAATAAAACCACCACATAAACTGAAGTATTAATATTACCTAGAAGATGAGGTTTTTCTTTTAGAAAAAAATCTCAATCAGCCTTTTAAGAACAGCACCTAATGATTTTAAGTATCTTCTATGTAATAATATTTAATGTAACAAAATATTTAAGACACGTTTTAAAAACCATGAAAATTTTGAGTTATATTCCAAATATCACATGGTGATTTATCCTCAAAAATTAATGACCTATCAACTGACAACTCTGTCTGGTCCCTTTTCAGTTTTGATGGGAACAAACAACTGGAAACCACATGACTTGCAAAAGGGTTTTACCCAGTCATTATGTTATTTGTATTCCCAACATCAAAAACAATTTTGAATTGTCCCTTCAGATGACACTCAGGAGTCTTTTATATTCGGAGGCAGTGTATCACATGACTATTTGGTGGGTAAGAGGTATGTTTCATTTCCCAAAGGGAGAGAATAGGGCTTCCTAAGAGGGAGATGGGAAAGGAGAACAAGTTGCCTTAATCACAGGTACATATTCAGGCAGAAAATTTTTAGGCAAGAGTATACATATGGAAGCTGAAGAAGCTGGGTTCCCTAAAACTCTCTGGGTCTCCTTAGATCTTGTAAAATCTTTGTGTATCAACAGAGGTTCTTCTAGACCTGTTTGAAGACCACTGTTTGATTGTGGAGGTTCGATCAAGGTACTGTAACAGGTGGGTCGCTGGAGTGCTATTAAGTGAAAAATCTTTATTCTTCTAGTGAAACTGATAGGGTGTTAAACCAAAATTGAAAGCAGATCCTACAATGAAAATGTTTTCTGTATTAGACTGCTAACTTGAGGAAATAAATGATTAATTTTAAAAACATACCCTTACACTTTTAATTCTGATGTTTACAGTTTAGACATTTTGATAAAACTGCTAGATATTCATTCTAAAGGACATCTAAGAGTTCACATCTGTGAACCAAACCAAAATTCCTGCTCTTAAGGACCTTAATTCTTGTGGGAAAACACTATAAAACACAATGACAGAGTGTAGGAGAAGGTGCTGAGTACTACAGGAAAGAAAACAGAGGCACAGAAGGGTGATCTTGGTACACAAATGTGGAATGCAGTACTAAACAGGCAGTCAGGACAGGGCGCGCCGTGCAAGGAAGATTGAAGACTTAAAGAAGGTTTAAGAGAGCCAACCAAGTACACATTTGAGGGAGAATGTCCCCGAGAGAAGAAAGAGCTAGTGCAAAGGCTAAGCGAAGGCATGCCAGTCAAGCAGGAAGAGCTAGAAGGGAGCCAACGTGCCTGGCGCAAGTGAGCAAGGGGAAGACCAGCCGGAGAGGCAGCCAGACAGGGAACAAGCGCCATGTCAGCCAGACTGTGTGGGGCCGTGGAAGCCACCGTCAGGAATGTGGGTTTACAACGGGTAAAATATAAAGTGCTGAAACACAAGTGACACGCTCTGACCTGTGACCTGAAAGGATCACCTGGCTACTCCATTCAGAAGGACCTAGAGGGCCATAAGGTTACCCTATCAGACAACCCTAAAATCGGAGGGCCTAGTAGAAGGCAATGGCAAGGTTCCACCAAGACAGTGCAGTGGCGGTGGGCATGTGAGAAGCAGTCAGATGCTGGACACACTGTGAACAAGTGTGGAGGACAAACAAGATTTCTTAATGAACTGGACATAGGTAAAGAGAGGAGTCAAGGGTGACTCCAAGGTTTCTCACCTGAGAAAACGGAAGGAGAGTTCTGCCATCAATGAACGTAGATGGACAAGGCCAGAGGAGCAGGCTTGGAGGAAATTAAAGTAGATGGATGCTAAACATGGTTAAGTTTGAGCCATTCAAGTTAAGGGGTTGAGAAGGCAACTTTTACATAAATCTAGTTGACATGAGAGGCCTGTGCTGGAGATAGAAACTTGAAACTGTCCAGACACAGATGGTATTTAAAGCCACCAGACACTATCAACTCACGAGGGAGGCAATGTAAGGACAAGATCATTAGGGGGAACCAGCAAAGGAGGCACAGGGGAGTGAGCAAACAGTGAAGCAAGGAAAAAAACAAAAGTATGGCACTTCAGAAGTCAAGTGAAAGACACATTAAAGAATAATAACTGTCTCAAAAGCCAGTGACAAGCAAAACAAGATGGGAAACACTGCTGGCCTGCACAGCATTCTCTGGGGAGTCAGGCTAAGCACCTGACTGGGCCGGGTGTAAGAGAATATGAAGGAAACAATTAGAGATAAAATGTTGGCAATTCTTTGGAGGAGTTTTGCTGCAAAAAGCAGCAAAAAAATTAAGGTGGTAGATGATGAGAAGAGGAGGTTAAAAAAAATCTGTTCAAAATTTCTTTCATTTGCTTTAAGTGGGAGAAATATTTGTATGCTGATGACCTGTTCACTGTTCACTTGTTCTTGCGTGTCTATATGCTGGTGGTAAAAAAATGTATGAGAGGACAGGGTTCTTGGAACTTTAACCTTCACTGGCTTGAGGGGCCAGACCTAGTTCACCGGGAATGGAACTGGTTTCACGCAGATGTGTGACAAGTTTTTTAATAGGAACAGGCCAGAAGATAAACTGTAATATTGAAGTGGTGGTGTATGTGGGTTGTATGAAATTTCTCTTTAAAATAAGTTACCCTATCATCTGTCCCTGTCATGGAGGATCTATTATCTATAGGCTTGATCAGAAGATCCTCTTCTCTCACTATGGAAAAACTAAGGAAGCCTCTTCCTATTGATGTTATTATTGATAATATTTAACAGGTCTCTATTAAAAGAGACCTTGGCAAACTCTGGTATTATAGAGGTGTTATACATACCCGTAAGGTGCCAGGCAGTCAGGTCCTTAAGGCAAGGGAATTAAAAGGATGGAGAAGGGTAAGAATCAAAGCAAGGGAAAGCTTTCCGGATGAATGCTGAGTCCCTTCACCAAGTACAAGAGAAAAGGAGAAGGTCAATCTAGAACCTGCCTACTGGAACCCCATTACTACTCTGGAAACTTTCAAATATGTTAGAGTCCCCAAAACCATGAAGAAATATGTAAGTGTAAAGTATTATTAATAGTGATAGTAACAAAAAGCTTAGAAAATTCTAATGGTACTGTAATTTCAGTACAAAAAAAATTTTTTTTTTTTAAAGATTTTATTTATTTGAGAGAGAGAATGAGACAGAGAGCACATGAGAGGGGGGAGGGTCAGAGGGAGAAGCAGACTCCCTGCTGAGCAGGGAGCCTGATGTGGGACTCAATCCAGGGACTCCAGGACCATGACCTGAGCCGAAGGCAGTCGCTTAACCAACTGAGCCACCCAGGCGCCCTCAGTACAAAATTTTTAAATTCAGTAGGACTTAAAGGTTAGCACTAGATTAAGATTTCTTTTAGGACTAACTACTCTCTCTGTGTTCTCTGCAAGTGTTTCCTCCCCTGCCCAAGCATCAAAACCTACCCTGAGTTTCTTTAAATTAAAACTCCACTGTATCTTCATTACACAACAGTTGTCTAAATAAAAACCGAGATGATCAATACCTCAGAATGTAAAAACCCATTAGCTCCATAAAGAGCAAAAGATTATCAGAATTATGAAAAAATTAACCGCCAGTTTCTTTATGCTGAAAAATGGTGTTGTATTACTCACTTTTAATCCAGCCGCATAGCCCACTGGCTGTGGGGCAATATTGGACTGTCCAGCTTCCCCGATGACCACAGCTAAGCCAAAGACCTCCTGGAAAGCATCTCGGACGGCAGCAACTTTTACTTCTTTATTTGAGGTCACTACAATATCCAGTTCACCTCCAGATTCTACAAAGATCAGAAGAAAATTTCAATTCCAAATTAATATAATGAAATTCTCATAAGCAATACCATATGCTAACATTTTATTACACAATGATTACGGACCTCACAAAATACAGCAAGATACAGATGATGAACTTTTTTATAGGCTGAGGAAACTAAGATTGATAAGGCCTTGCCGAAGGTAACACAGCTACTTACTTAGCAATGATGTCGGGACTCAAACCTAGGTCTGTCACATACCAGAATCTTCTTTTCACTACACAGCTGATCCATCACACACGTTTTCATCTCCTCATCTAACAGCATCTTATTCCAAGTGCTTAGACCCAAACTACCACTTTTCCTGACTTAAAAATGAGCACTTAATGCATTATCTGAGGGAGTCTCATCTGCAAGCAGAAGATAGCACATATCTTCTAATGGTTCTGAGTATCCAATCTGCCACAGACAGAACGCAACAGTTTTCTTTCTATGGACTACTGTTCCGGAATGTATTAGTAGCCCCACCTTAAAACAGCATTTTGTGGTCAAACAAGCTTGGGAAATACTTTACACACTTCTTTCTTAGAAATTCACAATGAACATTAACATCAAGATTCTGAGAAAAGCAAAAGTTAAAATTCCTGACTTTAACCCAGTACTTTCCATACTTAATGTGTTCATGGAATATGTTAACATCTAATAACCACTCCCAAAAAGTTTTCCATTGATGTCAATTTGGGAAATAATGTTCCAACAGCTATGAAAAAAAGTTTCATTTTCTACTATATCACTCTATTAATTTCACAGGATCTCATTTTCTAGTAAGGTTAAACTTTGGATAAAACATTGCATTTTTTTAAGGCTGCAAATCAAAATGGTTTTTCTGCTGTTGGTCAATAAAGACACACATCCATTATACACAAACTTCTAATACCATGGGGATGCTGGAGTTCCTAGGCCTTCAACTATTAAGCTATCACAGAAATGAACTATGTGGCTTGTGAAATACAAGTTACACATTGAGGATACACTAGAGAAAATGAAAATGAAGACTGTTATTGATGATTACAAGTAATCTGTCAGAGTTGTAAAGAAGCCTGCACTAAATGAGGACTGCCATGAAATGTGTTTATCTAGAAAACAGTTTAAATGTGGGAGTCAACTTTATCATACAACCACATCATTAAAAGAAAAAAAACAGCAGATGCCACAAATGGGATATTTAGTTATAAATTATACAACTATTACTGTCCTAATATGCAAGCATATAAGGAAATGGAAATACCAACATATATAAAACTTGAAATTTAAAAAGGCTAAGATGTGAAATATTTTTTAAAACCTTTTTATTTTCAATTATTTTTAAAACCTATGTACCATGTAGACAAAGTAATTTGATCAAATACACCTAATTTTTAAAAAAATCTTTATCTAACATTTCGTGACATACTGAGTTCAAAGACCTAGTTCTAAGCATAGTGTATTTTGCTACTTAGTATTAATGGCTATCACTAGTAAATAGATTTATCCAGAAAGCTGTTTGTATGGTAAACCATTTTGCCCCAGAAACAATGCTATGCTTTTCCCTAATATGTTGTGGAACAGCTGATAGTATCTTAAAAATACACGGGCTTTTTATCAAGTATCTTTTTTCCTAATAGGATGATCTATAGATCCCATCTTTACTAGAATTTCGTAAGTTACGAAAACCTAAAAGCCACTGACTCCCATAGGAGAGAAGAGAATACACTTTTTACTCATTTTTTCCTCCTTGTGGGACACGTCTCTTGACCCTGAGTACCGTTCCACTGCACTTCAGCTCAAAAGACTTTTTCAGCCTTTTTGTAATAAGTAGTGCCACCTTTAATGATGATGGGAAAAGTAATTCTAAGAACATAGGAAGCTAAACTGTGTTAAAATGCATTTCTAACAGTTCTTGTGCTTTCTTGATACATGTGAAACTGTTATAGTGATTTCTAGAATATTTCTGTAAAAATACCTTAAGCTTTAATTCAAGTTTTGTTACATCAGAATAGTTTTGCTTTTGCTGCCTGTCAATAAGGTGTCAACTTTTTCACATCAGTTTTAATTGCTTTTTATAGCTAACTGATTAAGACTATATATTGTTATGATTTCGCTAATAGACATTTCATTTTCTATCTTCCCCTATAACCCCATCCCCTTCGTCTTTTGCCTTTTTCTCGATGTCAGGCTGACTACTGGCCTGAGAATAAGCCTTGGGTTTGAGTCCTGACTTCATTAGCTCTGTTACCTTGGGGAAGTGAATGAACTTGTTTCTTCACAGTAAAGTATCTGCCACCTCACAGGGCTTGTTCTAAGGATTAAGTAACTGCTTTCACAGTCTAACACAGTACCCGTTAAAGTAGCAAGGACTCCAAAAATACTAATCCCTTTCTTTCCCTCATTCAAAATACAAGCTTGTGAAGAAAAGAATATATACGACACATTAATTATGTCAAATTCAATTACTATGAACATGATAAAGCCATATCTAGGGCAGGGTCCAGTTTCTAAATCCTCTGGTAGTTATGAACACAAAAAACAATTCAGATGACTTAATACTTGATTCAATTTTATACTTTCAGGGAAGCAAAGTGGCTAAGTGCAAAAACAAACTGAATATGGGCCCAGTCTAGCTCCACCAAGCTGTGTGGCCTAGGATAATCATCTCTCTGAACCCAGGGGTTCCTCACCTCAAACTTGAGAAAAATACTTACCGTGCAGAGTTCCTAAGTACTGCCTGGCAGAGCAAGAACTTAGTAAATGGTACTTTTTACTAAGGTCTTATTCTTTGACATTTACTAAACTGTAAACCACCAACAGCATCAAGACTCCTGAAAGCTACTGACTTTTTATTGCTACTGAAAATCTCTGTTCTAGTACCTCTATTCTAGTGCACAGCTTTGGCTTCCAAGTTGTTATCTTTAACAGAATGACTAATAATTGCTCATTGATCCTGCTAAGCAATTGTTTCTTCACACACTGGGACACGTACATTTAAAATAAAATGGCAGAAGGCATGTATGTCTATGTCATCTGTCCGGAGAATTCTTGGGAAGGAGGATTCAAAGGTGGTTAAAATAGCTTCCCCACCAAACTTACTAATCAGATATTATTATAAATAGATTAACTTCCTCTAAAAATATTATTCCCAGGTTAAGCATAATCACACTTAATTAAAACAGATAACTGGACAATTATCAAAATCAAATATAAACAAAGCATCATCTCAAGTGTCCTTAGTGAATAAAGTAAAATACATACAAAGCAACACTAACTGTATTTATAATTGAAATGTATTACTTACAACTGAAGTATACTAATTAGTATACTAATGCATATTGGTTTTACTCCTCCCAAAGTTCATTCTGTGGAGTTTTCAAAATTTATTTGTGACTAAGAGAAAGATAAATTAATAATACCAACACTAAGACTTACCATCAACTTACAACATAAAAGGACTTCCACTGATTACAAGACTATGGAATCACAGTGAGAGGCTGACAAAGGCAAATACTTTAAAAACATACAGCAGATGCTGCTCCATCTTAAGTACATACTGATATACGGAGCCATGCCAGGGTCCAGCGTTGTAATCATGCTTTCTACTGAATGTTTTGTTTTATCAAGCACAGATTTCACCATAGGATTTCCGGCCACACCCTGCACAAGACAAATTAACATATAAATGCCCATTCTAAGCAAAGAACACCTGATGGTGAGAGAAAACTTTTTTAAAGTTTCTGATACATCGCAGACCTGTAATTTGTTAAAATGTAAGAAAAACAAGGCTACAGCAATGTCAAATTGCTCTTAAGTTTTCAAAATGCTCACTCTCACCTTCTCTCCTCATAGACCCATGCAGTCAGTCTGCAGATCACACTGTGAGGAGCACTGACCTGGGAAGTAGGTATGCACACACATTATGTGTGTTCATTTTATGGATGTATATATTTATATGTATCCATTTTATACATGTATACATACGCATTTTATTTCTCTGTGTATTTTATTTTTTTATTTTTTTTAAAGATTTTATTTATTTATTTGAGACAGAGAGAATGAGAGAGAGAGAGAGCACAAGAGGGGGGAGGGTCAGAGGGAGAAGCAGACGCTCTGCTAAACAGGGAGCCCGATGTGGGACTCGATCCCGGGACCCCAGGATCATGACCTGAGCTGAAGGCAGTCGCTTAACCAACTGAGCCACCCAGACGCCCTTTCTCTGTGTATTTCAATTTCATTTCACATCTACTTATTTCTATGAAAGACCAGGTAAAACTTATCCATCAAGGTCCCAAATAAAAACTGTAATTAGTCGTCTCCAAAGACTCATACCTGGTTCCTTAAGAAAAAAATAAAAATATTAATATTTCTCATCCTTATTCCCCAGAAGTTATCTATTAATATATATTACTCTATCTTCTACTAATGTTTCTTTTTTCCTACTTCATATTTGTTAACTCCCAAATTCTCTTTTAACGCAGATCTATTCCTCTGAATTCTTAAAACCACACCATTAAACAGAAGGAATCAGGTCTGAGTCTTCCCTTAACATGCTATATTTCTCCAGTGGTAAAAAGGACTTCAAGGGAGCCGTGCCCCGTGAGATGGCCTCTGGCTAACAGGACCACCATTCCACCTCTTCCAACCTACCAATGAACCAAGGTGAGTCAGAAAAAAGCGGAGTCCGTAACGCCGGTATTTAAAACTGTCAACCAGGGTGCCTGGGTGGCTCAGTTGGTTAAGTGACTGCCTTCAGCTCAGGTCATGATCCTGGAGTCCCGGGAGCGAGTCCCGCATCGGGCTCCCTGCTCGGCGGGGAGTCTGCTTCTCCCTCTGACCCTCTCCCCTCTCATGCTCTCTCTCTCTCTCATTCTCTCTCTCAAATAAATAAATAAAATCTTTAAAAAAAAATAAAAATAAAAAAAATAAAACTGTCAACCAATCTTACGCGGGATATTAGAAGAATGATTTATAAGACATGTAGAGTTGAGCTGGGTACAAGTGCTAACGGACACACTGACACATGCTCTTAACCAGAGAAATAAGGAATAATCCCTGTATGAAGAAAACTTTAAAAAGTACAGAAGGATTAAAAAAAAAGGAATCTTAGAGAAATACCATCTTTGTGAAACATAAAGCTCAAATGTAGTAAATTAGTTAGCCACCTACCAATTTAAAAATATTTAATATATAATTAAGTTGTAGCCAAACCCTCAGAATATTGGGAGGAATGTGACAGAGTAATCCCAAAATTCATTAAGAGAAATAAACAGAAAAGACCAGTAAAGAAAAATTCTAAGTAAAGAGAAACTGGCAAACTTATAAAACTAAATACTGATATATCATTATGAACGCAGAGACTTGGAACTGACCTTTCTTTCTTTACTCATCAATGCATATTCCCCATCCCCACCTGAGCAGAGTAGACTTTCAATAAGTATTAGTATAATAATAAACAGAGTTAACAATAACTAAAATAGTAGGGCACTACTGCAGGGACAGGCCAAACAGCAGAACAGAACACAGAGTCCAGAAACTGACGTTAACACACAACTGCATAACTCCAATAAAGATGACATATCAAAACACTGCGATATGATGCTGGAACAGCTGGGTAAGTGGCTGGAAGAAAATTAAGTTTGACTTCTACCTTATGTAATAAAGTTAAGTGTCAGAAACATTAAATTGGTACGTATTAAAAAAAAATGAAACCATAGAAGAAATCACAGAACATTTACCACATACTGTGGTGGGAAAAGGCCATTCCTAACATAAAAAAATGGAAAGAAAAAAAAGACTGAAAAAAAGACTACTGAAAATTTAGAAGCTTTTGTGTCACAAAAGGGTAATAAAATTTAAATGTATGATAAAAGAGAAAACGTCAATAAATGACAGCGTGTAATAAAATATTACTACATGAGGAGCTCTTACAAATTCATTTAGAAAGGAAAATCATCCCAATTCAGAAAGGGGCAAAGAACACGACTAGAGACTTCACAAAGAAAAAATACAAACGACAAAAAAATCATATGAAGAAATGTTCAGATTTAGTAACCAAAAAAAGCAAATTAAAACGAGGTTATGTTTTTTTGACTATCAAATTAGAAAACGTTCTATTTCAAATTCATAATCAGTGCTGGCAAGTGAAAAATGCTGGGACAGGCTATTTTGGTATAACCCTCCTGGAGAGTCTTTTTTATCAGTAATTTTTAAAATGTTCACTCTGACATTCATCAGGAATTAACCTCAATAAAACAGAGATGGGCATAAAGATCTGCATACAAGAGTGCTCATCATAGTTGTATTTGTAAGAATTACTATTAGAGGACGCTAAAGTACATTAGTAAAATATGGGAAATAAATGCCCCATGGCATGGAGGGCAAAAACAGCCATAAAGAAAAAAAAATTTTTTGAAGAATATTTATGACTGGGAAGATGTTCCTGATATATGCTAGACAAAGACAAACAAAAGATACAAAATAGTGTCCACATGTTACTACCCCATTTTGACTTATCAAAAAAATTACACCTACACAGATATGCACATAAAAAAGACTGAGGAGAACTATAGAAAAGTAGTAGTAAGAACAAAAAGAATTATTTTTTCATTATACCATTCTATATTTTCAAAATCATTGGAATGACCATCTAATAGTTTCAAAATTAAAAAGTTCCGTATAACTTTCAAACTAAATACCCCTTACCTTAATAAAACCCCAGAGTCCACCAGCAGATGCCTCATCCTGACCTCTACCAACTCGAGGATCTTCTTGCTCCTCTGGAAAAGTAATGGCTGATGTGGTTCCCGGTCCCTGGGCCAGAGATGTCAAACTGGCTTGCTGAGTAATGGGAGTCGGCAACATACCTAGTAAATGGCAAAAATTTCTAATATATGTAATTTATTTCATAAACTATTTTCTATAAAAAGATACACTTTAGGAGATGAGTAGCTCAAAATAGCTTTAGTAACGTAAATATATACTCAGGCATTTCAAGACTGAATTATGCACTCCAAGAATCACCTAAACCTTCATAAAATACAAATGAAACAAAATTCTGAAGAAATTTCTTGCCCTTTTTGTAGGCTTTTTAACCAAACATTCTGAAAATGGACAAAATATCAAAAAGTACTTCCTGTTGGTCCTATTTAGCACCTGGATGTGGGCAACTGTAATTCTAATCCCTCTGATGCATAAAAATAATTGATGTGAGCACCCAAGCCCATCATGTAACAATTAGTACTTATTTCATATGCCCTACTTTGACTCAAAAAATAAAATTCACATATTCAAAGACAGAGACATAATGCTTGTACTATGCAAAATATTTTATTTGTAAAAGTAGATTAGCAAAGTTAGATAATAAAAATCGGAACAAAGTTGCTTCTTTTCCTAAAATGAGAAGTAACAGGCAAAAGATGACGAGGATGAAGTTTTTTTTTTTTAAGATTTTATTTATTTATTCATGAGAGACAGAGGGGGAGAGAGAGAGAGAGAGAGAGAAGCAGAGGGAGAAGCAGGCTCCCAAGGAGCAGGGAGCCCGATGTGGGACTCGATCCCAGGACCCTGGGATCATGACCTGAGCCAAAGGCAGACACTCAACCATCTGAGCCACCCAGGCGCCTGAGGATGAAGTTTTGATACTAGTGTCCAACAACCATTCCAGGAAAGCCAAGAAGGTAGGTGTAACCGACTTAGAAAAGATGGCCCATTACCATAAACTTAAGGCACACATGAGCTTTTATTTGGTTTTAAATTTTTACCTGGCTAAATAAAACTACTCCCTACTCCCTGGACCATTCTTGTCCAGATAACCTTTTAAGTAAAGCTTTAAAAAAAGACTCTCAAATATCACCCTGGTGTCTCTCTATTAAGTATACAAAATATTAAAACAAGTATTTGGAATTTTATCTGACACTACATACACTATACATACTCTACATTTTACAACACACAAAATTTATCATTTACTAGTAACATCAGCTTTATTTTGATAATATAAATGACAAAACACGAGAACAGAAAACTCCAGAGATCAAAGACATGAGTTAAAGGTAATGTAGCAAAAAAGAAAAAAAGTTAAAAAAAAAAAGTAATGCAGAAATACTGAAACACTCAAACAGTACTGATGAGAAAGTGAAATGGTGCAACTGCTTTGGAAAACAGTCTAGCAGTTTCTTGAAAGTGAACAATTCCATGCTAGTTATATACCCAAGAGACATGAAAATATGTCCTCACAAAAACCTGTACACAAATGTTCATAAAAGCAGTATGTGTAATACCAAAAAGTAGAAACAACACAACAGTTCATCAATGGATGAGATGAATCAACAAAATTGGAAGGAAAATCCATACTATGGAATACGGAGCCATAAAAAAGAATACAGTCCCATGCTACAGCGTGGATGACCTTAAAAATATACCGAGGGGACCCCGGGGGGCTCAGTCGGTTAAGCGTCTGCCTTCGGCTCAGGTCATGATCCCAGGGTCCTGGGATGGAGCCCTGCATCGGGCTCCCTGCTCAGTGGGGAGTCTGCTTCTCCCTCTCCTCCCTCTGCCCCTCCCCACACTCATGTGTTCACTCACTCACTCTCTCAAATAAATAAAATCTTCAAAAAAAAAAAAAAATACTAACTGAAAGAAGCTTGTCACAAAAGACTATATATGGTATGATTCCATTTATATGAAAGATCCAAAATAGGTATATTCAGAGACATAAAACAGTTGAATGATTGTTTGGGGCTGTGAACATCGGGAGCAAGTAGGGAGTGACTAACAGGTAGAGGGCTTCTTTTTGGGGATGATTAAAAGGTTCTATAACTGATGAGAGTGATGATGGCACAACTCTGTAAATACCGTGACAACTACTGAATCGTATACTTTAAAGGGGTAAATTGTATGATACGTAAATTATTTACCAATAAAGCAGTTACTAAAAAATGTATTTAAACATTAGCTGTAGTCATTTATTTCAAAGTATCAGTAAGAGAGAATTACCTGTTACCGGAGGTGCAGAGAATGATGGCATCAGGGGCGTCTGGGGAGCTCTTCCTGCGTGTCCCCTTGTAATGTCGTAAGCTGCCCCAACGGAAAATCCCGACGTGGGAGGACCGGAAGAGGGTGCAGATAAAAGAGTGCTTGGGGCAGACGATGTAGCCGGGAAGTGGGACAGAGGAGGATTACTGAAGGCAGCAGCAGGTGGTGGAGAGACAGGAGGTGGGATGGAAGTAGCAAGGGCTGGAACAGAAGGGACCGGTGAAGGTGGCACGAAGGGCAAGGGTGCCGAGGGCCTCACAGGAGGGAGGGACGGCTGAGGGGTGGAGTACGCGTGTGGCGGCAAGGACTGTATGGACGACACATTCGGAGAAGAGAAAGAACTGGTTGCAGCTAGAAGATGGGGAGGAAAAAAACCCACAAAATCGGAAATGCTTTTCACTTAGTTTTCAAAGTATCTCATTACTTTTTTATTGCAAAATTTAAAAATTTAATAGACCATAACCCAATAACTATTTTTTAATGTGTTATTTAAAATATACAACACATACGACTAAGTGCAAATGACTTTCGACTCCCGTAAGTAAAAGCAGCAGTTACATAAAATTAAGTTATAGTCCTGTTCGTAAGCAGATCTTTTTGTTTTCATTCATTTTGCTATTTTTTAAGAAAATAGAGCTGTTTTTCACGCCTGCTGCCTTCAGCATAAAAACCTACACAGTGACTCAAAAATTTTGGTCAGAAGGTTAATCATCACAAAGTCTTCGAACACAAGACAAAACTAACATATACTTTTTAGGGTATTTTTGTCCTAAGAAGATGATTTACAGTCAGTATGAATATAGAGAACAAAAGTTTACCCAAAGCAAAATATACTTTTAGGCTTAAATAAAAAAGGTCACTTCCCTTCATCCTGGCAAAAGATCAGAGATGTTTTCATCTATGTATTTTTTCTTTTAATTGACTCTGAGAAAAGTTAACAGTGTCGCTCCTACCCTCCAGACACAGGAGGTGCTGGCACCGCCACATACCTAAAGGCAGAGGGGTGGAAGCCACAGCGGCTGCGGCCAGTCCCGCAGGGTGCGGTGGAGGGGTCCCCGGGGGGGTTGTCTCTATTCCGCTCTCTTCCATCATTTTTCTTCAGTTACGGTTTACTGTAAAAATAGAAAAATGTAACATATATTGCACAGTAATCAAGTGTATTTTTAAAGAACAATTTTAGAAAGAAATCATCAAGACACAGAGGTCTAAACGATTTATAATACCACTTATTTCTGGGTAAAGGATCTGTCAAAATTCCTAGGAAAACATTGTCTGTGACAATGTTTAATATGCACGTAATATGCACATAACATTTTCATACACATACTTTTATAATTGGGAAATAATTTTATGTTAACTATTTGTAAATTTCAAACAGTAACTCACTAATATAATTTTCTGCCACATGAATATACTTAGACTTTTGTCTACATTCCAGTTACTATTACATTTCAAATAAAAATAGATTAAGTTTTTTTTTTTTTTTTACTTCTTCTTTCCCCGTTAAACATTATATATATGGGCTATTTCTGTTAACATGAAAAAAAAAACTGAAATGTGCTCAATTCCCAGTGTCCCTAGTTCACATTTAAAATCATACTTAGTAATGGCTAAATGATATGTCTCATTTTTTAGAAATGTTAACTTCAGCAAAAATGTTATATGGTAACTAAACAGCAGAGTCCTAAGATAAAAATGGATTATAAAATGTGGGAAAACGTCCTTAAAAATTACAAACTTTCAAGTGTGTCTCAAGTATAGAATCAAAACTTCTAAATAAAACTTCTGGTTTTGACTTTGATGTGTTTAGTCATTTAACAAATACTCAGTGAAAGTCACTTGCTTGATAAGCACTGTACTGGTGCCTCTGGACATACAATGTAAGCAAAAACAAACAGGAAACTTACAGTCCAGTACAGGAGAGGATCAAGTAATACCACTAATGTACAATGAACCGTAGCCTTAATTATGTGCTCTGAGGGTAAGAACACCATCCTATTTGAGAAGAATACGATTTTCAGTTGAGTGCGGAAAGGAAGTCACATATAAACAGAGATCTGAAAGATGTACAGAATTTAATTAGGCAAGGAAAAAGAAGTCAATAGGGAAGATTTCAGAAAAAGTGAATATAGGCTATGTATACCAGCCCTGTAAGGCAGAGCGGTCAAGACACATTCAAGAAAACCCATGTGGCAAGGAACAGGAAAAAAAGAATGAAGACTGGAGACACAGTCTTCACAACAGTCTTATAAACCACGTCAAGGAGTTGGGTTTTTTAAGAACAGAAAGGCACCATACAGCTTTCAAGCTGGGGATGACATATTTGTCTTTTAACTTTTTTGAAGAAATTTTAGATTCGTAAAAAGATGCAAAAATAGACCAGAGTTCCTGAGTATCCTACACCCAGCTTCTCCCACCAACAGCATCTTACCTAACTGCAGTAGGGTGATCACACCCAGGAAATTAACACTGGTGCAATACTAGTAACTAATGATTTTATCTGGATTTTCACCTGTTTCTACGTGTGTATGTTTCTGTGTGTGTGTAGTTCTATAAAGTTTCATCATATACAAAGACTCATATAACCAACACCACAATCAGGATTCAGAACGGTCCCATCACCCTAAAGAAACTCTTTCATGGTGCCCCTCTGTCACAGCCTCCCACTAACCGCAAGCTGTGACAACGGACTATTCTCTATCATTTTCTCATTTAATGAATGTTACCTAAATAGAATCATACAGCATATAACATTTTAAGATCGGCTTTTTTTTTCAGTCTATACAATGCTGAGACCTATCCAAGTTGTTGGATGTATCACATTTTTTTTTAATTGCTGAATAGTATTCCATTTTATTGATGTGCCACAGTTTACTGGTCTGGTGAAGGGCATTTAGGCTAATTCCAGCTTTTGGCAAGTCATATTTGTGTTCTGAAAACATTCCTTTGACCACAGTATGCAGGTTGGGACATAGGGCAGTCAGAATAAATGCAGAGAGACTATTAAGAAGGATAGAGGTAATTCATACAGGAACTGAGAACTCCCAAGACAAGTGCCTCTCAAGTGCCGGAGGGGAGGAGAGTGATCTTGCCTCCCAGGGGTCACTGGGCAACGTCTGAGACATTTCTGGTTGTCAGAACTAGAGTGACTACCGGTACCTAGTAGGTAAAGACTAGGAATACCACTAAAAATTGCACAATTTACAGAAAAACCCTCACAAGAAAGAATTATCTGGCCCCACATAGCAATAGTGCCAAGAGTGAGCAGCTTTGCCCCAGACTAGTGTGATGACAGGGGAGAGAGGGAAGAATGAGTAGATTCAAAAACTGGATATGGGGCATGACTTGCACAACTAACTGTATAGATGGCTATGCATTCACTAAGACAGGGAATATGGGAAAAGGTCAAGATGTCTGATGTCTTCTTTTTTGGGAAGGGGTATCATGCACTGTTTAAAATTGGACATACTGAGTTTAAGCTCCTTGAAACACCCAAATAGAGATACTGACGTGGTCTGCGGTTTAGCAGTAAGTGTAGGTTTCTTCAGTTTACTGACAAGTCTCTAAAGTCATGTTCTGGGATAAGGTTATCTAAGAAGAGAACACCACGTGAAAAAGAAAAGATGACCCAACTGATCCTTGAAAAAGTGCCTGGCAAAAGATGAGCTTGCAGAGAAGAGTGAGATGACCAAAAAGGGGAAAACCAGGAGAATGTGGTGTCCAAAAGCCAAAGAAGTTCCAAGGTGGGAATGGGCAGCAGGGTCAAATGCTGCAGAAATGCCAAAATAGGGTGATATCTGAAAAAATGCAGTCGATTTTCCAAAGTGAAGATATGAACACAGTGAGAGCAGTTTCCATGCAAAGAGCAGGGCTAGAAGCCAGTTTCCCCTGGACTGAGTAGGGGGGAGGTGAGGTAGAAATACACAACACTTTCAAAGAGTTTAGTTGTGAACGCAGAGGAAACATCTATGGCATTTAAATAGAGACCAGGGATCAGGGAGGCACCATCTTTTCACTCAGTACCTCTACACCAAAAGGAGATAACCTGGAACACAAACAGGGGACTTCTGGGGACCTCACTGCTTCCTGCCAAAGCTACCTCTTTTCATCTCCCCATTTTCCTCCTTACAGATGCTACCAAATCCTTACACTGGCCACTGGAAGTCACATTTAAAGATAATCTTGATCCCTAAAATTAATGAATGTGTTGGCAAAATAGCCTGTGCAATAAAAACAACTTATAACCTGCAATAAAGGGTCAGTTTCTTTCAGTCTTTTAAAAAGACACACTAGGAAATGGCTTAATTGACGTTATCAGGCAAATTTTGTGTGCATAAACATTATGCCTTCTTACTGAAGGAAAGCTACTGTGATAACAGTGAAGTGTCAGCTGGTAAAGGTTTTAGTGCATACCGCTCGCAGCATAAAAAGTGTTACTAACGTATCAACATTAAAGAAAGTGACGAAAATGGCTTAGAAAATTGAGTCCTCAGGCTCTGGCTGACCCTCCTCTTCCAACTTGCTTCCATTATGGTTTTTCTGGTACAAAGTAAATGGCTACTTATGAGAATACAATAAAGAAATGGAATAATGCAGCTTTGATCAAAGTAAAAGCATTAAAAGCAATTATTATTGGTGTTCTAACAGATAACGAACGCCAAAGCAGGATGTGAGTTTAGTCTCTACATTCTCAGCTCTGATCCCAAAATAAACTTCCATAAATGTTAACTGAATGAAATAGTGGCGTAAAGGAAAAAGACCGGAACGCCAAAATGTCATGCTGGCAAGCAAGTACATGGTGTCACTCAAAAATACCTACTCTGAATGGCAGAAATGGTTATAAATTTTGCCAATCTAGGACAGGACCGATCTTGCAAATTTGCCGGAAACCGGTCCCAAGAACGAACAAAGAGCAGAATGCAAAAGCTGGGGGAACCCAGGGAAAAATAAGCTACTTCCCACGGCCGTTCCCGGTGTGTGGACCCAGGAGTCGGGAGAAGGCGGGAACAGCCGAAATCCCGTGCCAGGAGATAGCGGCCTCCCCGCAAGCTCTGCCACGTCTCCAGGCCGGGCCGGGCCGGGCTAAGGTCAGCGGGCGCCAGCCGCCCGTCCCTCTCCGACCGCCAGCGCGCTGGAAGGCGGAGCCAAACGGCCAGGGGCGCCGGTCTGGGTCCGCGCCCCGGAGCAACGGGCCGGAACCAGACCCACGACCCGCACCCACAGCGCTAAGCGCGGCAGGGACTGCTCGTCTGGCCAAGGGCCCCCGTGCCCCGGCCGCACCATGCACGCTCACACAGCCCGCGCGCGGGACTCGACGAGTGCGGGCCTCCGACGCGACCCTGACCGTCCCGCGGCGCCGGCCGGCCAGCCCGCCCACCTGGCAGGGACTGCGCCCGTTGGCGCCCGCATCCCATCGCGCCGCCCGCCAGCACCCGCGTCGCTGCCAGGCTGCCGCTCACCTGGAGGCCCGAGGGAGTGTCTGCGTGGGAGCTGCAAGGTGCGGGACAGAGAGCTCGGGGTGCTAAGACTACGGCTCCGAGAAGACCACGAAGATGCCGGCAGGAGCTCACCGCCGCGCGTCCCCGCCTCCAAAATGGCCACCGGAGGCGCACGCCCCTGCGGCTGCCACGTCGACCGCGCGCCGCCCCGCCCCGCCCCGCCCCGCCCCGCCCCGCGCCTCGCCCCGCCCCGCCCCCTGGGAGCCTTGTCGCGCCCCGCCCCTCCCGGGAACGCAGGTTAAACTCGTCTGAGTACTTGTGACCTGAAGTCCTGGGCCCCGGCCCCTTCAGGAACGTTTCCAGTAGCACGGTCGTGCTTCCCTCTCCACGACCCTACACGCAGGAACGGCACCCTCGTTATCTCCTATCTCCCTAACTCTATCTGTAAGATGAGAATATTATCTACCATCTCTAAGTCAGACACGTAAGAGTCAAAATGAGGAGTATGAAAGCACTTTTTTAAACTGCTGAGTGTTAAACACATGAAAAATTGTTTTTGTTGCTTCCAAATTCCTTTAGGAACCCATTTACAGATTTCACATTAATAGAGCTCTTGGACTTGACAGTTGTGAGCATTCTAAAATGCCTCATTAAAAAGTTGACAGTATTTAACTCTGCCCTGACTTCAGATCTTCCTTTGCAACTACAGTGGGTTGTTTCTTTTGGTGGTGACTCTTAATCCATCCACAGAGAATGTGTGTAGGTAGTTAACTAGGTTACTTTTCTAAAAGCGCTGTTTGGGTGGGGCTGAAAGTAGTTACCATCCCCATCTTTGGTCGACACCCTTAATAGCTATAAGGTTTACTGGTTTCTTCATTCATTCAACAAATATTTATTAGTGGCAGCAATGTACTGAGCATTAATACTGGAAATGTAGAATGAACAAGACAGACAATGTCCTGACACTCACAGGGAGAGAGAGGCTATGAACAGGAAAATAGACTGTTTACGATGGGCACTTTCAGGATAATCAATAAACCGATATGTTATGGACAGTAATTGGCCACTTTGGATAGGATGGATGAGCAAGGCTTCTCTGAGGAGGTGGGATTTGAGCAGAGACCGGTCAGGAAGCAGGCCTGTGGTTATCTGGCTAGAAGGAAGGTCACACAAAGGCTCTAAGGGAGGGTGCTTGGCACCTTTGCAGAACAACAAGGAAACTGAGACTGGGTGGTAAGAAATGAGGTCAGAGAGATAGCAGGGCCAGATCATATCAGCGTTACAGGCCCTGGTAAGACCTTTGGGTTATATTCTGAGAGAAATGGGAAGTGGAAAGTTTTGGGCAGAGGACTGGCAAGATTTGACTTCAGTGTAAAATCACTCTCTGATTGCTGTGACTCTAGCCGACAAAAGGACTAAAACAGGATGGCCAATAATACCACGTTGGTGGCTTGTGTAGCTCACTGGGCAGGAGGAGGTGATGCATGGTCTAGATACATTCTGAAGGTTGAGTTGTCATGATTTACTGATGGATGGAACATGAGCTGTGTCAGTTTCCCAAGACTGCCCAACAAATCACAACTGGTTAGATAAAAATAACAGTCACTTTTCTTCTCTCACAGTTCTAGGGGCCAGAAGTCCAAAATCAAGGGTCAGTGGGAACTCTCCAAAGGCTCTGGGAGAGAATCCTTTCATGTCTCTCTAGTTTCTGGTGGATCCCGATGTTCCTTGGCTTGTACCAGCAAAACTGTAATCTCTAGTTGTCTTCACATGGCCTTCTCCCTAGTATATCTGTGTCTCAAACCTCTCTTGATCTAAGCATACCTATCATTGCATTGAGGGTCCATCCTAAATCCAGAATGGTCTCATTTCAAGATCCCACTTCAAGATCCTTGGGTCTAAACCCACCCAGGTCTAAACCCGACTCCCAAATAAGCTCACAGTCACAACTTCCAGGTAGATGTATCTTTTGGGGAGGCCACTATTCTGCCCACTACATGGGCCATGAGAGACAGGAGTCTAGCAAATAAGCAAGATCATCACTTTGAATTACATTTAAAACATTTCATGTTTTACTTGCCACTTCTCATTTAAACTTCAAAAGAACTTTGTGTGGCAGGTAGTATTATTGTCCCAATATTAGAAATAAGGAAACTAAGGCTCTGAGAATCGTGTATAGATCTGGAACCGAAACCCAGAATTCTTTAGCTGCACCCCAACTGCTTGCCTGCCTTGGGGTAGTAAGAAAATGTGGTCTTAGATGGAGGGCAATGAAGGGCACTGATAGAAAATCACAGCCTAATGGCAGAAAAATGATCTGCTTAGTTTTTTTGGTTACTGCAAACAGACCTCACCAGGTTTTTTCCTTATAGGAAGTCCCTCATATATAATAGAGTCCATTTTTGAGCAATAATGAGGGATTCGGTATTATGGTGGAATTTTGATTTTATCACACACAGGCAAACAGACCTATTTTCCCACATGAGTTGAGGCTTTTTTTCTAGCTTAATTCAAAGTCTTTTCTTAAATATTATCAAAACAATCCATAATATGTATAATATTCATATGAATACTGAAGCATGTATTTTCAGGTGGGAAGGAGAAGAGGCTGGGACCCTGGGCATCTACAGCATTAACCAGGAGTAAAGGCAGAACTGAACCCGGTCAGAAATACCACGGGCTCTGCTGAGAAAATGGTCCACGAGCTGCACAACCACGAAGGACACTTTAGTGGATGTACCAAGAGTACTGGCCAAAACCCAGAGACCAGGAGCCCACACCCATGCAAACAGGATATATAAGTTCTTTCAGCAACTAGGAAGGAGAAGTGTTGACCCAAACATTTCATGGGACATACTTGTACTGAACAATTATTCATTGTTTATCTGGAATTCAAATTTAGAAGGCAAGCAAGGTGTGACTTAGAGTCTGCAAGGCAATGCAGTGGAGTTTAGGACATAAGTCTTGGTACCAGCCAACCTGGATTTGAATCCTGGCTCTAGTACCTGCTAGGTCAACAGCTAGCCTTGGGCATGTCACTTAAACTCTGCCTTGATTTCTTCACCTATATAATGAGAACTTATATTAATACTGACCTTGTAGTTTTTTGCTTGGGGTTAAATGACTTCGTACGTGTAAAGTGCTGACAACTGTGAACAGTGCCCCACACAGTGTTCTCTCTGTGTTAGTTTGCGTTCCTTCACTTATAAATTGTCTCCGTATTCACCTGACAGTGACTTTTAAATCAAAAAGAATTTTATATAGGTGAGGTTGAGTTGTAAATTCCAAAGAAAAGTTTTATCTGCTTGTTTGTTGTCAACTAAAATTTTCCTTTAGTTATAAATAGAGTGGCTCTCAATTTGGCCAGGACACCCCCAATTTCTGACTGCTGCCCTAATAGAATTATTAAAAGTTCCCACCTTTTGTTCTCCAGAGTGTTCCAGTTTAGGCAGTATGTCTTATGGTCATTCTAGTTACAGATATATTGAGAAGTTACTCTTCTTTAAAAAGAGAAGTTTCTCTTCTTGCACAAGTGGGTTACAGTGTCAACGTTTCAATACCGGCCTCTCAGCCATACACATGTAATGGTTGTTACCAGAGTCCATTTCTATTTGCTACAAAGAAGAACTAACTTCTCTTTCTAAAATATATATTTATAAAAACATTCGAGGACTCCGCATTGCCTGAATGATAAAATTTTAAAAATCCAACTTACCTTTACTTACTAGATACTTTACTCTTTCTGATTCTTCCTCCATATTCCCCAGCCACCAGCTGCACACATCTGCCCCCTCCAGAAACCATATAGAACGCTTAGCTTCTATCAGTCCCTCTGCCTGAAATGCTTCCCCGCCCACCCCGCTTCTACCTTCGACTAATAGATATACCTCATCTTTTAAGGATCTGCTCAAAGTTTTCTTCCATCATAAAACCTTTCACACTGCATCTTTGTTGGTTGTGCATGTCTATAGCCCATCTTTGTTTAGGAGCTCCTTGATGGTAATAACTTTGTTTGTAGAATCCCAATACATCCACATTTTTACACAGAGTACTCTGTGAACATTTTATTGAATTGATTTGAATTTCCGACGAGGACCGATATATAGTATACACCCTGCAAAAAGTCTTCATAATGCTTTTTCTCCTCTACATATGATTTTACAAAAAAAAAATAATCTTGTAGGAAACAGAACACTTGTGTCTCCTTTGGAAAATTAGAAAATTCACTTTGAACAAGGAACCCTGCAACCAAAATGAGTTCTCTGCCCAAGGAAACACTGTTAATATGCAATAACATATTACAAAGGATTTAAAATTCTTTTCCAGACTTTCACATTTTTACGAAGTTAAAAGTTTGCATAACTTCAATCCACAGTTCCCAGTACAAAATAACTCCTAAATATTTGTATCTTGTGGGAGTGTTTCTCTAGTCTTTGAATTCATAGAACACTTCACTTTTTGCCTGTAGGTTTTCCATCGCTTTAGAAAAGAATAGGGACCATAACACAGATGTTCTTACAAGCACCTTCATTTTCAAACAATGGTTAAAGCTGACAAGTTGCATCCATTCCCTTGAGCAATTCAGTATTTCTCTAAGGCTTAGAAGTGAAATTTGGGGAAGAGAGCCTAGGAGAGGAACCGATCCAATCCCTGAAATTCACATGTCATCCCAGCTGCTTGTGTACAGGCATCCGGTGTCCTCCTTCCTGGGGTCCTACAGACCCGCTTCTGAGTAGGTCATCAGGGTAAAGTGGAAAACACACTGGCCTGGGAATCCAATACTATCGCTAGTTAACAATACAACTCTGGGGTTACCTTCTCCGAACTTTCATTTCCTCCCCTGACGAGTGAAGGATAGATAGCTAAGGGATTTCTGCAGGGCATGTTCATTATGGTTGGCTTCCTAACGAGACGAGCAGAGAAAATGCTAAGACATTTGTACTTACCAACAGAGATGGAAAATCCTAGACGAAATCTTAGAACCTGGAATTGAGGACTGGATGAGCAGGGGGATGATATATATTGTGATTAAGGAGGTTTTTTCCCCCCCAGGAATGGAAGGGTGGTTTCACTTCAGAAAAATGTTTAACCTGAGAAAGGGCATCTACGGAATAACACGGCAAATATCATACTTAATGGCAAGATATTAGAAG